GCCTTTCTGTGCCTCAAAAGGCACTAAATTGCCTTCAGGGTGTTAGTTGTGGCCTTCAGCCTCCCCCAAATCCACACCTGTGTGTCTCACAGTTGTCAGTCACCATCAGTTAGTACCTCTGGCCCTTGTGCCCTCATCGCTTTTTGTTTGGGCCTTGGCCCTCAGCCTAAGCTCAGTCATGACTTTGTTTATTGCAGAGCTTGGAACCCAGAGTGTTTCCAGGTATCCTGTCACATGGCGTCCTGTCCATCCCTACAGCCCCAAGCCAGTCTTCATCAGTCTACAGCAATCCCATCATCAGTTTCCACAGTCTCCAGGTTCCTGTTCTGTTAGGCCAGGGGTGGGCAAAATATGGCCCCTGGACCAGATCCAGCCCACTAATTGATTGTATCCAGTCCACAGCTGCCACTGCAGTGGAAGCCCTGTAAGGGGTCCGTCCTGCAAGGGGCTGACCCCTGCCCTGGGCTATGCTTCCCTGAACCCACCAACAACACTGCTCCAGCCCCGGCCAGCATCCACAGCTTCCTAGTGTTGCTGCAGCCACCTGAGTTCTGCTTGGCTTCCCGTACCTCCAGCAGCAGCTCCTCCTTCTGCACTGTTCTGCTTTGGGGAAGCTACAGCCAGGCAGCTCCTGCCCCAGCACACAGAGCTCCAGCTACTGGCCACCTTCTATCCACTGTGTGCATCTGATGCAGTGAGCAGGTGAAGGCAGCTGGGAGCCAGAGCCCTGTTTGTCAAGGCAGGAGCAGGGGCTGCCCAGCACAAGACTGGTATGGCTAGGAGTGTGGCACTGGCTAACTTGGGTGGGAACAGCTGGGGCTTGGCATGGTGTGTAGTGCTGTAGGCCAGATAGGGGGCAGACTACACCAGCACTGTATCACCCAGGCAAGCTCTGCTATCTGTGCCCCCTAGCCCCACCCCTCCCCTCCCCACCCCACCCCAGCTGGCTCCCAAGACCTAGTGTGGGCAGCTTTTCACACCCCCCGACATTCCCCCTCCCACACAATATACAAGAGTAATCCTTTATTTGAGCTATTATGCAATCACCTCCATATATGCTATTCAGAAACATAAATGAGGACCAAAATATTTTTAAGATAAAGTTTTAAAAAAGTAGATATTTGGTTTTTAGTACATGATTTTTTTAAATTTAACTTGCTAAAATTATAGCTTTCTGAAATATTTTGTGTACAGCCCTCAACAGCTTATCAAAACTCATTAAGTGGCCCACAGGCCAAAATAATTGCCCACCCCCTGTGTTAACTTGTACTTTCCCCAGCTCTGGTTCTCTTGAGCCTACTCACCATAGTCTCTCAGCCCTGTCTGTGCTAGTAGCTCTTTCCCTAAAAGTACAGCCTAAACTAGCCTACCTGCTTTGGCTCAGGAGCTGAGTTTATATCTCCCAGGGCTCTGCCTCTTCTGGTCAGGTGATCCCCTGACCAGCTTCAGGTGGCTTCCCTCAGCTTAATGAGCAGGCTGCCCTCATCTGCTGAAGTTTGCTTTTCTGTTTGTCTGGAGCTCTGTCCCACTGTCTTACAGCTGCACCTACCTTGCAACATTGTAGCCTTTATTTTTGGTTTCCTCTGGCTGCTTATTTTCCTATGGCTATTGCTACCTCAGCTGCCTACTTCAAACTGCAGCCATCCCATTTTTCCTTCTTATTAAATAAATACTAGGCTTTACTAAATAAATATCAGGATTAAGGCTACTGTAACTTCATTTTTGTATAATTGATTGTAATATCACTTTGAAGCTTTGGTGAATTTTGGAAGCAGGTAACTAATTGCTGACAAATACATGCTATTATAGATCTTGATGGAAAATACTTAAAAAAAACACCATTGTATTCAAAGTAAAACTTGGCACAGCTTATCCTACTTGGCTATCATTTCTCTGTATGGTTAAATTAGAAGCCTAGCATATTCCTACCACTTGATTATCTCTTAACTCCTGTGTATTGACTAGCTCAGCTGTTTGGAGAATTAGTTTAGTATTTTGGTCTTTTTATCTGCCAAATGAATGCTTGATGATTGGGGCAGCTTTACTTGGTAGAGGATGGGTCCTGTTTGAATTAATTAGATCACTTTTTAGTAGTCAGCTTTTACTTTATTTTTCACTTGTATTGAAAACTACTTGCTTCCTTCTCTCTGGAGAGAGGAAAATTCTTTGTCTTAAGTCCCTGCCAGTCCCATGTTCCTAACTATCCAAGTGATCCATCTGTTGCAAGTACTAGGAAGTTTTTGCTTCTGCTTTCTCATTCCTGTATCTTACTAGTAAAGATTGATGTACTGGTAACTGGTCTTACTCAAGTGGTGTATAATAAACAAGTGTGCTATCCCAAGTACAGTTGAATAACTATCCCTTGCAATCTGAGATATGCTATGTTAGGCTTTTTAAGAGTTGTGACTACTTCAGCAATGGAAAAAGCTGTTGTTACTGGTGGTATTTGTAAGTTATAGTGAATGTACAGCTAGATAAGAATAAGTAATATCTATGTCCATTAGATTTAAGTTTATGAAGGGTTGACATCTTTTACTTATTATTTTTCTCTTAGTTATAAATACATTTATGTGAAGGAGAAATTAGTAAGAATTGTATATTTCATTGGTCCTATTAGAGTCATAGGCTTGGAAGAGACTTCTGGGGCCATCTAGTTAAGCACCTTCATGAATGCAGGCTGTAGTGTTCTGAGAACATGGCTAAGCAAATAGAGATGGATTCTCACCTTCCCCTGGAGAGGTTTATATCTTAGTTTATCCTGATTTCTTGATGGGTTTGTGTTCCTAGTTAGAGATTTGCTACTGAAAAACTCTGTCCTAGAGGTGTTACCATGAGCAACTTTTTTGAAGTTGTGGAGCCCTTTTGTTGGGGATGAGGGAGGGAGAGTGGATGGGGGTGGAAATTATCTTTGTAGTAGTTGGAATCTATGTTACTAGTCTTGAGGATTGTTTTGATTAGAAGTAGGAAATAGCATTTTACTTAGTTCATTTGTTAGAGTCACAGGGAGTTCTTTCTCTTCTGGAAGTGGAAGGAAAAACAAGCCAAAAAGTATAACCACCACCAGCAAAGCCCAGACATGTAAACTCCCTAAGGAGCTGCCTGTCTTTTATTTTGGTGGCTTTTGTGGCTTTCTTGCATATGAAATAGAAATCACTGAGGGTGCTAACAGGTGATATTTGTTGTGCGTTTTGCCCTCTGAAAGCATTCTACAGCTGTGTCTTGACAGAAGTGCATAGCTGCAGAGCACTTTGAAAGTCCCTGATTTGCATGACAAATTAACCCTCATTTAATGAGGGCTCAGATGAAGGCACTCCAAAGCTGAGCACCTTCATTAACTTTTGTGTGTCCTTGCATGTGGGCAGGGCTGGGCTGCATCACTGAGCCCTGCCCCCAGTGCTGACTTCAGGCCTGGGGTGGGGAGTAGGCAATGGAGGGAGCTCCAGTCTGGGGTTTGCCCTGCCTGTGCTTGGGGGAGGGAGGATAGGTGGATTGGAGACCCACTGGAGGTCCTGAAGCTTCCCCTAAGGTCTCCCCATCCCAACTTGAAGAAGGCACTGGAGCTGGGGGCAGGGGGAGTAGCTAGGGGAGAGAGGCTCTGCTGGATCCGCTCCTAGATGTAGCTGTCTTTTTTTTCCCCTTCTTCTTTGTTCCCTCCCCCTCCTGAGCAAATAGGGAATGTCTGGGTTGGGAGGAGTCACTGTAACTCTTGGCACTTTATGTTAAGCTCCATGAGTTACAATGGGGAGCTGCATGTCTGTCAGTGTCCTGGGTCTTCCATCCTACCTCTTAAACTTGTGTTGTGTTTCTTGTATTGTATCAAAAAAGTTTAGTTCAAAGGAAGATATGTGCATTCACTGTGGGTCAGCTGAATTTTCAGTTTTATTAATATAGTTTTCAAAGATGTTAACTAAGAAACTTCTGCAAGTAGTGTTGTAGTATCCCTGATGATCCAAGCAATATGTGAGAAGCATATATTTAGTAACAGCCTTTTTATTGGGCAACCTAGATAGTTTTGAGAAATGCATTTTTGGCCCAAAGCTTGTCTAGCATCTTTCCCAACATCTTTCCCAGCTACATATTTGGTTCAGTATAAAGCCAAAGAAAACTTTTCTATTTATGTGAATTTGTCCAAATTTTTAATATTTATTTAAATTGCTTTGGAGCTGGGAGGATAAGAGGTTGAAAATGATTTTAAAGAATCTTTTAGGTGGAAGGTGGGGTCAAGAAAACTCTGACCATTCTGGGAAATACTCTTTAAACATTGTTTTGTGATGTATGTGGGCTTGGGAGTGCCCACATCAAGACAGTTGGATGATGGGGTCTTAATTCAAGTGGATTTAGAAAATCTTAATTTCTTCTTTGAATATAAAATGCAAGCACAATCTGATTTGTATTTTTATGCATATCTGAAAATTGAACAATCAGTATTTTGTACAGCTATCAATGCAACTGGTGAAACAGCGAGGTTTGCAGTGACCTAAGTTAGGGAGAGAAAAGGTGCCTGAATTGGCAGTTACCCCCCCCCCCCAAACAAACAAACAAACAACCCCCCCCCCCCCGAAGTTTGTAGTGGCATACATTTAGAAATGCTAATTATGCCGTCTTAAAAGATCACCTAAAACAACTATTTTAAATTTAGTATTGTTAAAAATAAATGTTTACTATAATTTTTGTGTTTGAAAACTTAATTGTTCTTTTTCTTTTTTATGTTTCTGTGGGTCATTCTCTGTCCTCTGTTGCTGTTTAATTAAAAAAACAGGAAGAATATGTTTATGAGACTACAAATTGGTAGGACAATTAAAGGGCCTGGTATGCTTATTCATTTCTGTCATTAGCCTGTCAATCCCTGAGATCCTGTAATGCTAGTTCAAGTAGAATGTAGTGACCGCCATGTTCTTTGCTTTTAAGTATTTTTAAGTATTTAATGCTTTTTGAACAAATCTAATTAAATATTTGAAAATATGACTTTTGACCAAAAATGTTTAATGCTTATTTTGTAGATGGTGTTCTGACACCGAATACAGAGAACACTAATTATTCCTACCAAGTACCTAACTTCCATAAGTGTGAGGTCTGTTTGCTGTCTTTTCCAAAAGAAACACAGTTCCAGCGCCACATGAAGGATCATGAGCGAAATGACAAGGTGTGTATTCAATAAATCTAAATAAACTTAGTAAATCAAAAGTTAAATCCAGAATTATAATAGTAGAGATGGAAGCAATGTGTAAAGGTTCTCAGGATTGGCACCGATAAGCAAGTATTGTAGGTGCTTTAGAGTTGTACAGGCAGTCCTCGACTTACAACGTTTTGACTTACAATGTTTATAAATTGACACCCTGTTTCAACTTTATGATGTCAGTTTCGACTTTACAGCATTTGGTCTGATGTGATGCCACGCCAGCGAACAAATTCGCTGCATCGCTCGTCTCCCTGGAGAACATCTGTCCAAACTTCCTTGGACACTTTCTTTAAGAAAGTAGACAAGACTCCAGAAAAACCTGCAACCAAGACTGCTGAGAAGACTCCAGCCAAGAGCCTTTCAAAAAGTCCAGCAAAGTCACCTCAAAGAAGTCTTTCCAAATCAATATGATTGCTATTACAATATAAATAGATTAATCTAGCTATATTACTCATTTATAATTGATGGAGTAAAAAATTTTGCGGTATTTTTGGTGAAAATAGAGTATTGGGCCTTGGTTCAGGAACCAATCCCCCATTTATAACATTTTTTTAATGAGAAAATTGGTTCCGAGTTGCAACGTTTCGACTTAAGACGCAGTTTTCAGGAACCAGTTGTGTTGTAAATCTCAGGACTGCCTGTACAAAACTTATCACTTACCATTCATTGCAGGTGTAGCCCAAAGTATTCACAAAACCTTACTGGGAACAGTAATTGGCAATGAATCTGTTCCCAGTTATTCAGTTTTTAACTGCTGCAAATCCATTGACTCTTTAAAGTGTTTATGTAGACTGGGGAAACTGATAGACAATTTTTTAAAAAATTCTAGATTTTGAGCTGCCAATTTGTGCTGCCAGCAGAAAGAAGCATTTGTTGTTATTACTTCATTGGCAGATTTTGCCAGCTGATCTATTAGAATTATTTTAAGTAAGGGACAGTACATGCTTGCTTGGTTTTTCTTTTCTTGCTTGCTATCTCGCTCACTCTCTGTCTCCTTGTTTATTAAAGGAAACAGAAGAATCCTGGGTGAAATGGAAATATAATGTAGTTGTGATTTGTAAATCAAATGAAGAAACGGGAAGAATATTAGGTTTACAATTAAGGCTTTTTGGAAACAAGAAATGTCAGTTAAATTTTAGGCTAGTTTGATAGCAGTGAGGAATATTAGGAGCAATGTTTTTAAACAAAATGAAAAGAATGAATTTTTTTTTTTAAGAATGCAAACTGAATACATATACGCTTTGGACAGCAAAAAAGTTGACTGTGGAATAAAGGAGGTGTAATTTTCTTAAAGGGATTACTGTTCTCTTGGTTGTATTGCTGGTAGAACCTGGAAAAGGAGTTTAGTATCCTTTTTAATGTTACCAAGTCTTTATATCTTTTCTGACATCTCATTCTTCTTTCTGTATCCCCCTACGCATGATGTCTACTGTACAATTAAATTGTTAATTGTACAGTAAATTTAGACTGGCTACACATGCAGATTAACTATCATGCCTTAAAGTCATAGAACTGTCCCAGCCGCAGGGTGCTCTACACACCCCCCATGTATGGGAGACTGCATGGAGCTTTTGGTCCCGGCTGTGCCTCACGCTTACCTGGAACTGAGCCCCACACCTTACAGGGCTCTTGGTCTGACAGACCTCTTGGTCCTGGCTGTGCCACACATGTAGCTGGGACCAAGACCCCATTAGGTGCAGGGCTCTCAGTCCTGATTACTTGTGGTCCCCATGGCTGGGAACCCGTGAGCAAAGGGGCCTTCCAGTTGTGAGAGCCGCCTTTCTGCCGTTCAAGGAGAGCCCAGGATTGGATATAATGAGTCCTGCACCGACAGTAAGGCACAGTTGGATGTAATGAGTGATCCCACAGTCACGCCTCCTGCAATGCAAGATTGTGTGGATTACATATTAGATCAGTGGTAGGCAATTATTTGGGCTTAGCTGTGTGGGATGGGGCTTTGGGAAGGTGGGTGGGCAGGGAGTTAGTATGGGCATGGGTGGGCAGCAGCTTCAGCAGGGGCAGCTCAGCCAGGGCCCCCGCCGCCACCAGTGCTACCTCTAGGCTGCCCTTGCACCCCAAAGAGGGGCTGGAGCTGCTGCCCGGCTTTGCTAGTGGTGGCCTGGGCATTGAGGTAGTGGTTGTTTGGCAGAAGCTGCTGCTTGGTGCCAGGAAAAAGTGGGACCTGGTGGTGGGCACGGCTGCCTTCCCTTCGCTGCTGCTAGGACCCTTCTTGCTGCAGCCACTGGGGCTGCCCTGTGGTTCTTCTTCACTGCTGCCACCAGCCCCACCTCCAGGCCTAGCCCCACCAGGACACCCAAACCATTTTTCTCTCTCCCCAAACCCATCCACACCTCACACTAGTTCCCACCATGAATGCTGGAAGCAGCACCAGGCGGGTACTGGCATTGGTGCGTCAGCTGCGGTCCCTGGCAGTCACCCCAGTCCCCAGTGGGAACTTGCCAGGAGCATTCACAGGTGAGGCCAGCACCTGCCCAGCTCTGATTCTGGTGTGTGGCAGGAGCTGGTATAAGTTGTGGACACAGCCAGGATGTGCCCACCTGCCTCAGCAGCTAGAGCCACCAGCTGTCTGCGGCCTAAACTTTGCAGCTACCTGTCCGCAGGCCAGATACAATCAGTTGGCAGGCCAGATCTGGCCCCACCCTTGCATTAGATCCAGTTGTGTGTTTACCTGCACATGTAGAGAGGGCCAGTCGTATTACTGGTAGATGCTGAGAAGGGAGTTTTTTAACTTTAGAAAGTCTTTTATATCTTTTCTGACATTTCACACTTCTTTCTTTTCATTCCGTAAAAACAAATTAACAACTGAATTGGTAAAAAGAAAAAAAAACAAAAAACCAAGGTCCTGCCTTCCCCCTTCCCTCACCTCATTTCTCCTTCTTTTGAGAATTTTAGGTCATGGAGTAAAGAAGGTATTTAGTTGAACTGATTATCATTGGATTTGAGTATTTGAATTCTCGGTTTTGTTTTTAATTATGGTGTAGATACTTTTAGTGCATATACTTAGTATAAAAAGGTTAGGTTTGATGTCTTTATCTTGATTGTTCCCACAACCAGCCTCATCGGTGTGACCAGTGTCCAATGTCATTTAATGTGGAGTTCAACCTAACACTTCACAAATGTACTCACAATGGGGAAGATCCTACATGTCCTGTGTGCAACAAAAAATTCTCCAGAGTGGCTAGTCTCAAAGCTCATATTATGCTACATGAGAAAGAAGAGGTAACTATTTAAATTTTATTTTTTAATTTTTGCAAGGATGAGTGTACCATGACTGTTACATTTGAGAATTAGAGCTGTGTTTTGGTGGAAGGGGGAAATAAATGAGGCAGAGAGATAACAGTTTATACTAGAGAATACAAGCAGTCTAATAATGATGGCTAAAAATGGAGGTGCATGATCTAAACTAATTGATCCAATCCTGTTCTTCTGGAGCAAGTGACTCTGCGTATTTGTTAGCTAGGCTGCTGTGCATAAAGGGAAGAACATAAATTCATGTAATCTGTATCATGTTATCTGTTTCCTGTTCTTTTTCAGTCTTTTATTACAAAGTTTTCATTGGCTGGCATTCTTACAGTAGCAATTAGTTTTTAAAAATATCTCTCTCACAACATTTGCTTGCATATCACATGCACCTTTTTCTGCAAAAAATAGCCATCCAAATTGTGGGTGTGTGTTTTTTAAATGGGGAACTGATTTCTGCACCACAACGGAGGCATGAGGATGCTTGAATGGTCACTGGGAGCCATGCTGCCTTCACCACCTCCTGCATGAGCCTGGGAAGGGGAGTCTTCTGCACTGTCAGTTTCTCTGACTCTGCAGCTTAAGTTCTAGTTTTTGCTTAGCAAAAAAACTGCTGCCAATTTGCTATGGCTTGGGTTAAAGTTTGCCATGGACTTTGCAAGATGAGTATAAGGAATAAACTCTGTCCCTGCTCCCCCAATCTGCATTCAGCCATGACTCTGGAAAAATCTTTTTTTCTTCATTCTGCCTTCCCAAAACAAGGCACACGTCTTTTGAGGGATGTGATATGTGAGAAAATACAGTATTAACTAATATTCCACCATTACAGTGCCCAATAGTGTCCACTGTAACTATACACAAGCTCTGTGAGTACTAGGAGTGCACCAACAAGATTTTTTTGAGCGGATACTGATGGCTGATTATTGACCAGCCATATCACCCAGTACCGATCCAATTGCTGATATGTAGCCCGGCAGCTTGGAGAGCAGCGTCTGACTGGTAAGTCTGTTGGAGGGAAGGGGCGTAGGGAGTGCAGGGCAGATTGAGGCCCTAGCGTTGCAGGAGGGAGTGGGCCAGAGACGGGCACTGCCGAGCCAAGGTGGGGCAGGGTGCAGGATGGAGCCAGCGGAGGGGTGGGGGTGGCTCCTGCCCCTACACGCACCCCCATGGGAAATATGAGGGGCGTGTACCCCCCTGCTTTGTGCATGGGTTGAGGGTGAGCGGTTACTGTGCGCTCAGGGCCAGGGCTGCGTCAGTCTGTTGCATGTGGCTGCACTTGGGCTGGGCAGGGTGTGTGGCAGTGGTGTTGGGAGGGCTACCACCACTCACCCCACCTGGCTCAAGCGCTGCCCCAGCCCCGAGTGCACAGTGGCCGCCTCCCCTCACCCCATGCATAGATCTGGGGGTGGGTACATGCCCCCTTGCCTCCCCTGGGGGTGCGCACAGTGGTGGGAGTCGCCCCCCCCCACCCCGTGCTCCCTGGACGAGCCAGCAGCTCCGTCCCCTGCCCCATTGTGGCTGGGCCACACCTGCCACTGCCCTAGCTCCACTCCCTCCCTCACTGAAGGGGCCTTGATCTGCCTCCCCAACCCACATGACCTCCCCCGCCCCCCAACTTACTGTCCAGACGCTACTCTCCAAGCTGCTGGGCTGCACTCCTGGTTGCATGCATGCATGCTGTGGCTGTGTGCATGCGCACACCATTTATCAGGGACGTTATCAGCCTCATCAACCAAAAAAAAAGCCGTTTGCCGATTATATCAATTTTTCCTTTTATCAGTGCCAATATGATATGAACGGATGTATCAGCGCACCTCCTATCGAGTACCGTTGTTTATGAACTAAAGGCCTCAAGGACTGTGTGGAATTAAAAGCCACTACATTGCTTTTCACTGCCCATGTTCTTTAAATTATAATTTCCATTGTCTATGCAGTCTTTTTCTTTTTTCATAAAATTATAGCTTGAATTATAGCTTGGGAGGAAGG